ACCCTTCAGAATGTCCTCAGCAATCCCTCTAGTTTTATTATTGTCCCTTGTTGGTGGTCAATAAGCCGAAAGGAATCGACCCTCTTTGGTGTCGTTGAAGCAGCAGGGGGGATCAGCTTGTGATTATGGTGATTACAGTTGGTGCTTACACCCTCCCCCACCCCCTCAACCCCTCTTCAGCTGGCAGCCCGAGTTCTCATCTGCCAGTGATACCAAACAACAGAGGAGTGAACTGGAGGAGGAAACCATGAATTGGGACAAGAGAAAATGTATTGCTTGGTTAAAAATCATACATTTTTCCCGCTTTTTCAAACCCTGTCTCACAAAATAATACCCAGGTCACATTCTGTCATATGCACAATAAAGAACAGCTAAACCAGTTACTTTAGATTAAGGACTATAAAGGAGATTGTTTACAATTTACGAGCCTTGGGAAGATTCAGCTCTTCTTCCTCACGTGCTGTGTTTACATCCATGCACAATAAAGCCACGTACACCTGGACGTATTTGAATGCATAACGCACACATTATTCTTTTCTCCCTGTTTGATCAAAGAGGTCCACCTCAGCCAAGTGTACGATGAAATCTTTTATACCCATTTAGTGAAAATATAAAGTTATTGTGTTAGGTCATCAGAGTTTGCCTTTGATTTGCATGTAAATCAATCAACAATGATTTTTTTAGAGCTGCAACTAACAATTATTTTTATATAGAAAAACTATATATAAGTATCCATGACTTTGTTAATCTAGTCAGTAGTTCTCAAACCGTGGAGTGGACCCCCATGGGGGCAGAGACACAGGGGTCTAGTTTTAGCGGGGAGGGAACATTGCTCAATTGCTGGGTTTTAGTCCCGTGGTTTTGATGACACGATTTCAATGGGAGGGCATGAAGTAAAATGTCTACAGAGGAAGCCATTATACTATATTGATTCTGTATTGAACACATTTAGACCCAGTTTCAAGAGAAAGAAATCAGCAATTAGTCAACAACTATGTCAGACTTSGCCCGTATCTAATAAAAATGAAGGAGTTCCGACAGAACGTAAAGATTTGCCGACAATCCAGGCTTTTGATATCGCAAGCTATCTGGTCTTTCTGATGTCTTACTGCACCAAAAAGGTGATGAAAACCTATACAAGTCTGAAGGCGTGTAACTTCAACAAGCATACAATGCATATCGACGTAATGCTAGGGCAGCCTGGAAAGTCCAGATGAGGTCTATAGCAGATTACCAGTAATTTAATAAACCCTACTAAAATACAATTACATTGTCTGGATCAGGTTTCATTTGTCTAGCTGTATTACAACTTGTAAATTACTGGTAAGATTAAATAAAATAGTACGGTATCACTCTGCTAAACATGCTAACAAAAATTAAATTGTAAACCGCGCATGTTTTGTTCATGGAAGTGTTTGTGTCTTTGTTTCTATCTCTGACTGCTTCCATCTCTTCCACCCATCTCAGCCATTTCTCAGTGTGACACCCAATTTTAACCTGCATTCTCACCTGGTGATTACAAACCTTCCCGCTCTTATTAGAGCCATGCAGAAAGTGCAGCGAGGACGAGTGCGCAGAGAGGAGAGGGCTGCCTTGATAATTGTTTCTCAGTTTTACAGGCTTGACCCCTTATTTATTTGAGTGGCATTTACTGCCTACGAATTAACTCTTGGTTGGCAGGGACAGAGCTGCTGACAGCTGACTGGGGTGACTGAGTGAGACGAATGGCGGGGTGGGGTGGGTTCATGAACCCATAAAGCTCAGCATGGGAGGAAGTCGGCGGACCACATCTCATTACCGGCCTGGCCTGAAATGAGATGGTTTTTTTTATTTTTTATTTTTTGCTTGTCCCTCACTGCTTCGATTGATTAGTCGGCAGCCAATCAATGTTAATTAAGGTGTAGAGAATCCTTTAATTGTGGGATATGAATCATTGTGTCAGACCCTGGCTTGACCTTCACAAGACTTACACTGTGAACATTCTCACTGGTGAATTAACACTGTTTGCTGCTACTTAATGGACTGGGATCCTGCGTGTGCAGTTGCAGTATAAATTTTGGACCATTTAATAATTTATTTGGGTTAAAGTTGGGGCGTTAGAAAAGTTATTCCAGAAARTTTTATCCAATCAGAAATCAGCTCTGATGTTTTTGGGATTGTTGTTTTATTAGATCACCCAAACCTAAACTGTTGATTTCAGGTTAAATGGACTAATTTTGAGGTAGTCCTCCTTCTGTATTATTTTACTCATTTTTTGCAGTTCACTAGTACCACAGCACGATGCTAACCTCACCATGCTGGACATTTGCTGTTTTTTATAGTTTTGAAAGTTTAGCCTTGTATTTGCTCTGAAATAACTCAATGTCTGACCGTAAATCATTCTACCAGAAGGCATTTGTATTATCTGTGGGCAGCTGCTCATTTCAGTAAAGAGTTCTGATTTTTTTTTTTCAGTGCAAGAGCTTTTTTCTTGGTCAGCACCCTCTCAGTTCATGGTTGATAGGGACACAGTTCAGTAAGTCCTGTCAAACACATTCTTTTTATTCAGGCAGGAAGAAACAATTTCAGTTCATCATGATCATTAGGCTTTGTGTCATGACTCCTAGACTTCGTGTTTGTTGTTTGTTGGTTTTATTTAGTCCTTTTTTTTTAGCTGTTTGCAGTTTATTGTGTATCCTTGGTTTGAGGTACGTTGTGTTAAGTTTGGTTTAATTTCTCACTGCATCTGTATGTCATTGGCCAATTCTTACCTTCAGTGAACCGTTCTCACTTGTTCCTCTTGTGCTCATTAATCTCAGCTGTTTCCATTGTTTTTCATTCTTTCTAGTCCTACTTACGCTCTTGGTGTGATTGACGGAATTCTTTGGTGTGGGTGGAGTTTGGCAAAATGGGGTAGAGTTTCTTAGCTGTGTGGGCAACCCATTCTCGCTCTCAAGTCGTCACATATTGACGCTTTTCCAAGGTTCCCTCTGCGTCCGATTTTGACGTGTCTGGTACCCCCACCCCCCTCGCGTCAGTTATTGACGAGATGGGGCGAATTCCGTTGTTATAATTTCAGAAAGTGTAGAAAATCCACAAAAACTACCATCCCAAAGCCTAAAATTACCTTTATTCACTCTAGACATGCTGTCCCTGACCCTAGTACCTAAAATTAACCATTAACCCTGATACCTTAAATTAACCATTTTTAGAAATTGTAGGAAATTCACATAAACTACATGTTCCAAAGCCTAAAATTACCTAATATTCGCCCTAGACATCCTATCCCTGACCCCACTACCTATAATTAACCATTAACCCTGATCCCTAGTATTAACCACGGACCCCAAGTCAAAGACCCCTATATTTTGCGTCCCAACGCATCAAACCTGGATGCCGAGGGAACACAGAAATGCCTGGTGTGTCAGAAACTGACGCGACGGGTGTACGCGATGCATCAAAATAAGACGAATAGGAAACCTTAGAAAAGCGTCAATATGTGACGAGACGGAGTGAGAATGTGTTAGTGTGGAAGTAGTTTGTCCTAATGGTCATTGACAGAGTTTGGAAAATAGCAGAGGTTCGTGGGTGTGGGCGGAGTTTGGCAAAACCATGATTGGTCGAATTGACTTGTCTTGTGGGGTAAGTTAAAAGTAATGGTAATAGTAAAGTTATTGTGAATATGTATATACTGTATATAATTTATTGGCTTCACATGTAGTATGACTAGCACCTTCCTCTCTGGAGCTATGATTAACAATAATATTTGTATTCCAAAAAATGATCTTTTCCAGATGGTTTAGGGCTGATTTGACCAAGTCAAAACAGCCCAAAACCAATATGTATGTCATTCAAATGTTATGTGGCTAGCACCTTCCTGTCTGAAGTTATGACAAATATTTATAGTTTAAAGTTGTAGATGCTTTCTGGCTGTTTCACCCGAGCTGCATATCCCCTCCAGCTGCCCAGCGTTCATCCAACCAAATTGTTCTGGCTTCTTCAAACCCCACCCAAAATAGTCAAACAGACCAATCATATCTTTAACAAACTCCTCCCACACACCAAGAACCTCCCATTTAGTGACTACAGAGACCCCCTTCTCAAGGATTGAGGTGTATATATTTGAGATCTAATGTATAGAGTCCACTTTTGTGGGTTAGACAAAGTCCACAATAAATTTAAACTAGTTCATCTAATTCTTGTTTTTCATTTAAATAATTATAGATGTATAAATCATCCCCCCATGGAAAAGACGGGTTCACAAAATCATTAATGCTCTAAAATGAATGCATTCATTCCCACGATGAGTGTATGTACACTTTTTACTGCATTTGCACCGTGTTTTGCTGCAGCGGAGCTCACGGAGATCATGCACGTAATGGGTGCACAAACCGAACCGAATTTTGTGTGTGCCGCTTTTTATTTTCTCCAAACAGATGCAGAGCCCCCAACAGATCAATACCTGTCAAAACGGTCACGAGCTAATGCTGTGAGATAAGTATTGCTATTATGTGAGGCGGGAGGCTCTCTGTGCATATGAAGCAGGGCTTTGATTGATGACTGCCAAAAAGAAAATGGCACAAGAGAACACCACTGGCACCATAATTGTGCTCTTTAATGAAGACCTACATTCAGTGTTAAGATGATTTTGCAGTCAGATGATTGTGTCTACTCCCCTCCTCCTCCTCCTTTCTGCTCCCCACTCCACCACCACCATCCATCATTCAGTAATAACATTGCAACCTGTGCATGGTCCAATAGTAGACCCATGACTTTTCAGCTCTTCCTCCACAGACAGAGGAATTTGTCCCTGCCAGTGCCATCTGAACCTTAAAGAAAGGGCCAACATGACTCTGTTTTCAGACTTATTAATCTCCCAAACTATTTGTTTCTCTGGCCTGACAGCCGTGGGCGCTTGTGCTTGAAAGTTAAACACTGCAAACGTTTCCAGCTTTATTAACCCATGTGTTCATTTGCAGCTGATTGTCTTTCATTAAACAAAATTCATTTCTGCGTTTCAGGTGTAACAACAGGACCCAGTGTGCGGTTGTGGCCGGGCCAGACGTGTTTCCTGACCCCTGTCCTGGAACCTACAAATACCTGGAAGTCCAATACGAATGTGTGCCCTACAGTACGTATCCGTTTCCCCTCACGCACAACCCTAATGCTCTTATCCATTCTCATTTCCTCTTAACAACACTGACTGGCTCATCAGCTGCTCGCTCATTAGCTTGCAAGCGCTGCTCTAAACGTTCAGAAATATCTCAAATGTGTCGCCCAGTGTGGTGAAGCAGATTAGGGCCCAGCAGTGGGCTCGATGTGATGATTTCTGTGATCCATGCCTGCGCAGATGATAAAGCCGATGCAGTTCATCAGAGCGGAGGGATGTTAACAGTTAATGCGGTGCTCTTGTGTATTAATAATTAAAAAGAAATTCTTGCTTTACTATCCAACTCTACCTGACTCACATATTTTATTATTCACAATGACCAAAAATAACATGGAATTTAAAAMCGTTTATGTTCATTACGATAATAGAAAAGGCTACTTTTAGCAGGTTTTTTTGTCTAATTGTATGCAATGTGTGATTAAAATGTTAATGACAGGCGATACTAATAATGCAAGGAGCAATTTGCTTTTGTAGTTTGTTAATCATTTGATTAATTTCACTTCCTGCTCCAGTGTGTGACTGTTTTCTACAAACCAGCTTAAAGCTAAGCATTTTATGGACATTTTAGACAGTTCATAGACAGGAAGTCATCAAAATAAGGAATTGTACAAATGTGTGTGATGTCATTCTTATAACACGAGTAGTTTCTTTTGAACAAAGTAATAGCACAAAAGTTTCTATAATCTTTAACTTTTTACTGCAAAAAATAGCTTAGCTTGCCTTAAGAGTATTACAAAACCTTTTATTGTTTATTTTTTACAAGTCTACAAGTTTTCTCTCAGTTATTAAAAATTTATCACAAGATTGGGAAAAGCAAAAAAAAWAAAAAAGGCAGGAAAAACAAGTTTTGGTTTGTAGCAATAGCATTAGCATTATAGCATCGTGATTCGTAGAGTTTATATCATAAGCGGAGATTCTTGAATGGGCGGAGCTTGGCAAAACCTCTGGTCGCATTGACTTGTCTGAGATGAAGTAATGGTAATARTAAAAATGTTGTCATCATGTAAAAGTAATTTATTGACTTTAAATTTTGTGCAGCTAGCACCTTCCTATCTCAAGTTACGACTAAGATTAATATTTATACTTAAAAATATTGGTACTTCCTGCCCAGCGTTCATCCACCCAAACTGTTCTGGCTTCTTTAAAGCCCACCCAAAATAGTTAATCAGCCCAATCATGTCTTTAAAAAACTACACCCACAAAAGTCAAACAGACCAATCATGTATTGAACAAACTCCTCCCACACAAGAACCGCCCATTTAGTGACTGCAGAGACCCCCTTCATGGGTTCATTGGCCGCTCCATTGTTCCAGATAAGTTTCCATACATTAATCATTTTTAAAAATCTGTTTTTTTTTTTTCTCCATTGACAGGAGGTACACAGTTTTTAACATGAGACTGTTCTTATGGATAGGGCCTTTATTAATGTGGAGGAATCATTTTTGATCTTGTCAAGTCTGACAAGCGTAGAACTAAGAAATGGCCACTTCACTTTAATCAAAAGGAAACATACTTGTTTCTGTTTGGATCAGCTTATTGGAACGAAGTAAATGTTCTGACTACTAGGGCGTTTATTTATTTRTTTTTTAAAGCAAAGGTGTATAAGAGCAGTTTCATTACTGCAGCAGGTGAAAAGAAAACACTCAGAACTGCAGTGGAAAGTACCGAACAGGGAGAGGAAAGATTAAATGACGGTGGCAGGATGAGCACGCGGTGAGGAAATCTGCGTGAGGTGAGAGGAAGTGGCGTGGACGTTGCCATATAACCCTCGGCATTGTTTGGAAGTGACTTTTCAGCGGAACATCAAAGTCAGTAACCATGATCTTGATATTCTTTGTCCCTGTCAAAAATGATTTGCGAAAAACAAAAATAAAGACATTTGGAAATGTTCAGCCACAGACTTTTAGCTGTACGGTCCGCAGCTGCTGGATTGAAGCGAGTTGTTGTAATTCAAATTCAAATCAAACCCATCTTTTGTAACATTTTATGTCTCTCCGCGGTACCGTCAGAAGTGCGCCTGACAGCAGCTTTCATGTCGTGATGTAAGAGCCCCTTTTACCTGTGATCTAAAGCCCGCAAATGGCCCTTTTATATCTGACTCCTTGCTTTATGCTGTTTTAGCTACCACAGTGTCTTTTTTAAGGCTGTCCATATATAAAACGCGGACGCTGAAGCTGCTTCAGTGGACAGTGACACAACTTTGATCAGTACCCTAATTGTGGTTTGCAACTTCCTGCTCAGTCTGCTTTGATTCCCACCCTGCTGTCCCATTATTTCCTGTTGTTTACATCCTGTTGAAACCGAGTTGAACTTTTTGGTCCATCTGCTCTGATTTTCGTCGTAATTGCGAGGCTTTTCCGTGTCGAGCTCTGAAGTTTTACTTGAAGCCGTTTTTCACCAATACAGCTGCTACTTCACAATACAGATGTTGTTTTTCTTTTTCTTTTTTTATATCACAGATTCTACCAGGTACCAGATGCTCCTTTTTAAAGATTTTGGCCCAACTTCAAAAGATCCGAGCTGACACTAAAGGCTGACTGCAGATCAGTGATCAGTTGGAAAGAAAGAGCATTTGATGACATATAAACTTTTTTTCAGCTAAACGTCATTGTGCAAAAGGCATCTTTCTTTGATCAGAGGGGAAATCTTACAATTCCATAGTGATTGATTCTAACTTTAGTTTATAAATTTGTATATTACTGTCAGTTTGACAATACACAATGGTGCCATTTTTCTGTTATAGTTTCGGCACGACTCACGTCACCCTTGTTTGACCCAACTTCTGCAGAGTCTTGATAGTTTTCCACATAACTAAGTTTCACCTCAATGTGGGCGGGGCATTATAGTGTGGCTACTCAAAAACTTACCACCAACAAATAAGTGAACAAAAGCCAAAACACACTGGCCATTTTCTGCCACGGATTTCAAAAATACCATGGCCGAGTCTAGCAAGGGTGGAGCCAAAGGGGTGGCTGATTTGCCTGATGTGTCACTCCCAAATGATTGACAGTTCGGTTGGGGATTACATTGGCATTTTAAAGATGGGCAGTTAGAGCGAAAACAGTAAATATCTGTCAAGTACCTTTCTTGTCTGATATAGAGGAAGCCAATCGTGTGAATAAAAAAAAAAACACTTTTCTGACCCACTGAATTAATAGAAAACAATAATTTTGTGCCCGTCTGTAACATTGCAATAGAATGGAGCAACTAGAAGAGTTCTTTTCGAAACACTGATGGGTTTGGCCATGTGACCGCCATTTTAAGTATATAATTTGACTGTACTGATACGTTGACGATCACAGCTCCAAGTTTTAGCTCAATATTTGAATATTCAAATAGTTTTATATATTTGGATGTGTGTCCCCTAAAAACACCTTGGCCACACCTTGCAAAAATGACTATGTCTGCCTATGGATTCAAGTCTACCTTCCCTCTGCTGGTTAGAGTCGGTAAACTGAGACAGTTTGGTCTAACTCCCTCTAAACCCATCATCCGTCAACAAGCACAGAATTATTTGCACCTCCTCATTTTACCAGTGTTGCCATTTTAATGGCTATAGTGTCTTAAAAAGTAAATAAAAATGAATGTGCTGTGGTTGTGAGGTTTTGAATACGGTGGTTTTGATTCCTGTGATGGATACGCTCTCTTGATTGGCATAGTACTCTGGCCAATCAATGGCCTGCAGTCAGCTGACATCAAATCTTCAGCTTGGCTGCTTGGAACCTCAGCCAGAAAGCGACCTGAAAAGTGAGTGGGACCACCCAAAGGACTCTGAACCTGTACCAGGTCGACCCCAGTAGGGCCTAATTGAGTCCATGGAAAAAGGCAATTTACAGACATTTCTGTGGCAGCGACCGGTAGCTTCCTGACATTTTGAGGCAAATCCCATCTTCCTACTATGATAACCAGCTGATCTCAACCACAGAATTAAGAGTTTTATCTGCCATGGAAAGCAGATAGTCTCAGAGGTTTAAAGCAAGTGGAGTCAAGTTCAGTTGTTCAATGCAATGAAAAAAATAGCATCATAAGCCAAGATGGATGTTGTCTCAGGGCTGAGCTGGCAGCCTGCAAGTGCTTTATTAAGTGTATAGAGGGTAATACTGAGGGAATAAAGGTTCAGGCTTTGGTTGGATGCTTCTATATAGACCTAGTCAGAGCTGCTCAGATGGTTATTGCTCCCTAGAGGGTGACTTTATTAACTTTTTTTCCCCTTTTCAATTCAAGTCATTATACTCTTCTTTTTTAAACTTTAAACATGTTTTATGATAGACATAGTTGTGCATTGCGGCTTCATTAAAATAAGTTGTTTTCAATGGTGGAACCTTGGTTTTGAGCCAGTTTTGGTCCTATACACTCAGTGTAATTGACTCATTGTTCAATAGGATCTGAATGGACCACGATATGATGTCTGTCCCCTTATTTCAGTTTGATTGCATATGGTTGAATATAGTGTACAACAGTCCCCTAGTCATGTGGTTTCAATTATTCAGACTTTTTTCACCTCTAACCTTTCTAGAATCATATTTAGGCACATAATTATAGACATCATGACTTCATTTTTCAAAAAGCCTTCCACCTAATACAGACACTAATTTTTTCCTGTCTCGGCCAAATCCCCCGTGTAAGAAAAATAACAATAGTTGGCCTCTAGGTCAAACAAATTTCTGCAATACCCATTGGAAAAAAAAGGAATTTCCATTTATTCACAACCTTCCTGCCTTTTTGTAAGAGCTAGTAAGTGTATTAAAAATACACACTGAAGTTAAAAATGAAAAAAAAAATCACATATTGTTGGAAAGGAGTTTGGCAGCTTAATTACTGTAATATCCAGGCCTCTAATTTGGACTTGAAGAAGATGGGGCCACTGTGAATGGTGAAAATATGGATTGTGCCCAGATATTGTACAATTATTTAACAATATAATAGAAGTTATTCATGTTGGCATTAATTTATATACTTAC